CACTCTCACCAGCACACACCTCCTCCCCCCCACCACACACACACATTCAGATTCACACACACGCGTACACAAACACACACACACACACACACACACACACACACACACACGCACACACACACATACAGACACACACCTCCACAGTTGGACCTCAAAATACTCCAACCAAACCACCAACATTAACCCTATCAAAACATGGGGTATGATGGAGCGAAGCAAATATTCTGTAACAGCTTGGTTTTCGTTTATATCCTGGTATTGGCTAGAACTAATATGATATCCTAGATTGAGGACAACCGCCACTCTTTGCTCTGAGAGAAAAAAAGTTAATTGCCAAGCGTTTGTACGAAGTGGACCAAAGTGAAGGGGAAATATCGGTCTAGCTAAAGCAGTCACTCCCACCCTCCCTACCCTTGTCCTACATTTTGCCCCAAATAGAGTCAAAATGGTGAGCTCCTAGGTTAAAGAAAATTACGTAAAACTGTACGTTCTAGGGGGGATATCACACCGCGGGTCAATGGTTCCATGTTAAACAAGGAAAAACATTAAATATTTAACCACCACCACCACCTCAACAAGACAATTGTTTACATAGACCAGTTAAATTACATCCTTACATGTATCTCCGCAGGGCGTGAAGAAAAGGAACATGAAACTCAAAACAATCAAGGTGCTGGCCAAGAGAAGTTTCAAACGAAGCTTCACGTACAGCATGAGCAACAGTGCAATACTTGACTTCGGAAGCAAAGCACGCCATTTACTGAGTTTCACCATCATGATCTGAGGAGAAAAGACGAAAATGATGTTCCTTATAATTTGTGTGTACTTTTGAGCAGAATATATTGCTAATTTACCAATACCTGTTGCTGGGGTCGTGAATCAATGTTTATAAATCATTGCCTCAGCCTAAAGTGGGACCTCACCCGGCCCATCTGTAACTATAAAAAGACATCTAGATATCCGGGTAGCGACCAACTGTCGTCTGCTTTCTGCCCCCACCCACTCACCTCCTTTGCCCCATCCTCTGGGCTTCTGACTCTTTCTGCAGCCATTCTACTGCTACTCCTTGGCTCCTCCTTACTGCTGTCTTTCTGCCACACCCCTGATCTTCTGGTTGGAAAGATCTACACCTAGCCTTCTCGGACAAGGGCGAAAAATCTCGGAGGGCCCGTGTGCAAGTTGCGCACGTTAAAGATCCCTTGGTCTAAAATCGATAAGAGTAGGCTTCGGCCGCCA